TTTTTTTTGTGTGTGTGCTTTGTTTTGTTTGTTTTGTTTTGGTTTTGGTTTTTTTTTTTTTCTTCACTCTTTGGGGGCCCGCCACCCAGCTACCAAATAAATACATGGAGACTTATTCTTACTTATGAATGCCTGGCCTTAGCTTGGCTTGTTTCTAGCCAGCTTTTCCTAACTTAAATTATTCCATCTACCTTTTCCCTCTGGGATTTTACCTTTCTCTATATATCTTTCTTTCCTTAGTCCATGGTTGATTGTGTGGCTGGGTGGTTGGCCTCTGGTGCCCTCCTCTCCTCTTTTTCTCAATCCTCTCTTCTCTTTGATTTACTTTCTCTCCTGCCTAGCTATTAACTGTTCAGAGCTTTATTAGACCAATCAGGTGTTTTAGGTAGGCAAAGTAAAACAGCTTTACAGAGATAACAAGTGCAGCATAAAGGAATGCAACACTTCTTTGCATCATTAAGCAAATGTTCCACAGTATAAATGAATGTAACACATTTTAAACTAATATACTACAACAGAAACCTCCGAAACACATTGTCCTCTGATATACATGCTTAAGGCATGCATGTTTATGTTATGGAAAGAGAACGGTGGGGGAAAGTGAGGAACTAGCATAATACCATATGTAGGGAGCTCAGAAGCTTAGGCTCAAAAGCCAAATTTCACAGTTTAGGGAATAAATACCAGAGGAAAATAGAGGAAGCATGGAGTATTTTGATTGAAATTTTGGATTATTGTCTGAGAGAATGTGGTTTGGAAAGTTAGAGGTATAAACCAGGTCACAAAATCAAAGCTAAGGTCTCCCTTCCAATGTGGTGAGAATGAGGAATATAAATAGTCTCTAATATTGAAAGGATCAAAGGCGGTGTTTGAAGTCAAGGTCAAAAACCTAAGAATTCAGAGCCAAGGAGAGATGAGAAGGGAACAAAAACTGAGATATAGTTGGAAGTTGTAGCTGGATTCGAGGCATAGGTTCACATCAAATGTCTTGTCACTTAGAATTTTGTTTCAGAAAGTTGGTGTGGGGAGAATGGACTGCATTAGGGCGACAATAGACTGGGCAAAGGAGGGCTGAACAGGAGAGCTGAAGCAGGTGTCTGGGTGTTTAGTGAAGATCAGTGCGAGGTGGAGAGACCTCCAGCCATACTGTAGAAGGGCAGAGGAAGTGTGGTTTCCCTCAGAACCAGCTGCCTACTGCTATGAGCAAGCCCTGGGAAGAGGAAGATGAAACTGACCTGAGTTGGTATCATAGATACCTACCTAAATGCCCTTACTTTGAATGGGAGGTAGGAGGGCACATCAGCGTTTGATGAAAAAAACAAAATCATAGAGTTAGAAGTCAGGTTATGTATTCATAGTATACAAATTTGGACTCCAGTTTGCCACTTTGGGCAGAGTTAGATTTCTTTCCTCACCTTAGTTTCTTCATCTGTAAAATAAGTATAATGATAGCTAGCTACCTCACAGTACCACTGTAATGGCTCACTGAAGTAATCCACACGTAGTGCTTCCTGTAGTCCCTAACGTGAGAGACACTGGTAAACAAAAGCAGCAGTGGTACAGAGGAGTGGGTGGTGATTCCGTTTGAAGTGTGTTGGCTTAGGAAATAGGAGCATGTCCAGCACAGCAGAGAAATACTGAAGTGAGTTACATGGAGAGACAATCCAGACATCACAGGCCTTCTCTCAAGGGAGTAGTAAATTTTATCCCAAAAATGGGATAGCATTAGGAAAGCAAAGTCTAATGTTTCTCCTTGCTTCCCGCAATGTCCAGAGACTTCGGTTGTCACAGCTGAGGTAGGGAAGATGCTGCTGACTATCATACAATGCCTTAGCTTTTCACAGCAAGGAATTGCTAGCTTCAAGTGACAGTGGTGCAGGAATGAAAACTCTGAATCATAGTGACCTTCGAAGAGTGTATAGAATTTCCAAAAAGAAGCTGGTAATGAGGGAACTAGGAAGTGCAACAACTGTGAGAGAGAATTTAGACTGCAGGCCTAGTGCTTGTTATCAACACAGGGCTCATGAAGGGAAGTGTAGAGCAGACACCACACATGGCCACTTTTCTCTGGAGGCATGCAGGGAAGATGGGAATGCTGGTTTAAGAAAGATTGGGGTGCTTATTTGTTTGTTTTTTGATTTTTGTGCTGCTGGGGCTCTAAGCCAAGGACACTGCATACCGGAGGCAAGCACTCCACTACTGGGTTGGTAGCCCAACAGGAAGACTTGAAATATCACTTTACTTAATGTCTTCTTGAACATTCTCAGTGTCAAACCTGAGGAAGTTGGGTTTCTAACTAGGTTATGAGAATGACTTTACTGAGAATGTTGGTGATGTAATGTAGTTCAGAGTTCACATCTGCTGTGTTTCTAAACTGCTTGATAATTTTCATAGCCTGAGAAATGCACTGTTGTTTTATTAATCAACTAGCTTTTCCAGTCATATATGAGACATGAACTTGGGAGATCTTGTCATTGAAAAAGACCTACTTTTCTGGAATACAGTTTTTATTAAGTCATGATGCTTTCCAGCTTTCCATGAAGCTTTTCATTCTTCTTGTTCTTTTAAAGCTACCTCTGATTAGTAAAAAGAAATAAAATTTGGTTTCCCATAGTTCAGCTAGCAAAGAGTTAATAGCTTTTAGTTCATGTCAAATGCTTTGCATAGATATTGTTTTTAGTACAAGTTTTTTAATCCAAGGTTGATGTGTCCAATTATGCATGTGTGAAGTGTAGACAATTATATATATGTCTACATGTTTCTTGGGCCTAGCCTAGCTAGGAAATATTAAATACAAGAGTATATAGAATATATCATGGGATAAGATTTAACTCTTTAAGATATAAATCATTTATACTGGTGGGGACCTTATGAGAACTGATGTATTAAATATGGAAATAACTTAGTAGAAATGAACTTTATCACCAGGTGTGGTGATGGTCTTCATAGGTCCTTTTTCTTGTTACCTATAGATCTACTTCTTCAGTGTGTGTGTGGTGCACATACACATGTATAGTCTGTATGTAAGTGCAGAAATTGATGTGCAGTGTCTCTAATAATTGCTCTTCATCTTTCAAACTTAATTTTTCATGTGTATTGTGTATGATTGGCATACTTGTGTATGTGCACGTTTGCATGTGGGTAGATGTATGTCTGTATGCATGTGGAACTCAAAGCTTTCAGTACAGTTAGTCTCCTGATCTTTGTGATTACAGGTGGGCTGCAATGCCTACCTGACATTTACATGGGTTCTGGGGATCTGAACTCTGCTCCTCACACCTGCAGGGCAAGCACTTTAATCTCTGAGCCATCTCTCCAGTCCTACCTTATTTTTAAGACAAGAGTTCTCACTGAATCTGGAGCTCATTCTTTCTCTTAGTCTGACTAGCTAATGAGCTCCAGAATCTGTCTGTCTGCTCCTGCCCCAGCACTGGGGTTACCAGTGTACACTACTGTACCCATTTTTATGTGAGTGCTGGAAATATGAATGTAGGCCCTCATGTGTACACAGCAAGTACTTTAACAAATGAACCACCTCCTAGTCCCTTTCCTGTTCCTTTTCTCAGGCACACAGAGTATGGATGGTTGTTTTAAAACACATATGAAACTGGGGATGTAGCTCAGTGGTAGAACATTTGCCTTGTACTTGTAAGGCTCTTGGTTTGATCCCAAGTACCACAGAAACAGCAAAGCAAAATGAGAAAATACAGTTTTTAAAATAACTTATTTTATTCTCTTAGGTTTTTATTTTGTTTGCCTTTCTTATTTCTTAGCCAAACACTGCACACACGTGTGTGTGCGTATGTGAATGTGTGCATGCGTTTGCATGTGTGTGTGTGTGTTTGGTTTATAGTTGTAGTAAAATAAAACAGTAGCATTTTTTCCTACTACATTGAAAAATGTAACAGTTTGATATTATGCAGTATTGATAAGGTTGTAGAGCAGTGCTTCCTTTTGCACAATGTTGTATAATTGTTCCATCCTCTTCAGAGAGCAGTTTGGCAGCATCACAATAACTTTAGCATATGTATGTAATCAGCAGCACAGTAAGTTTAGCATATGTGTGAAATGGCTTACTGACTTAAGAGATCTCTGAAGACATTCATGTCAATATTAAGAGTTATTCCTCATATATTCATTGTTGTAAAAATTTAGAAATTGCACATTTCTGTTATGAGAAGAATGAATGGAATATATCTTTATATTTTGCAAGTGATAAAAAGTAATACAAAAGATGAAGGTGCTTTTTGTATTCACCAACATTTTAAATGGAAAAGCAAGACATAGAAGCATATATTCATGGTAATCTATTTATAGAAACATTATCCAGTTTTATGTGTATGTGAGTAACCAATAAAAATTAGAACACATACTGAACTGGTAGTTTCTTTGGGTTTTATTATTGTTACTGTGTTTTGACTTTGCAAGACAATCTTACCATACTGACCAATAGATCTCAAAACTTTGATTCTCCTACCTCTGCCTTCTAGATACTAAGGTTTCAGGCAAGTACTACTATTCCTGGTTCAAACTTTCTCCTCTTCCCTTTTTGTTTGTTTTTGAGACAGAGCCCTCTATAGCTCAGCTCTCCTGGAAGTCACTGGTAGTTTGTGCTAGCTTTGATCTCTTGATTCTACCTCAGTCTCTGGCATGCTGGGATTATAGACATGAGCTGCCGTATCTGGCTAGAAATTATACTTTTTTATCTTATATATTCTTCTATTATAATTTTTAAAGTAGTTATATATTACTGGTTTATAAATCAGTAAAACTCAAAGCAAAAAAAAAAAAAGGAATTAGTTCCTGAATAATAAAAAGTTACCAGGAAATTTGTCAAAGGTTTGGAAGAATATTGTTGAGAGCGTATTTCTAAGACTTCAAAATGAGACAGCAACCATAATTTGTATTTTGAGCAGGACTATGTAGCACTATTAAAAAAACTCTACCTTTTCTATTTCTTTATGTTAAATCTACACTTCTTTCATATCTGTGTTCTACAGGTAACTCGAGACCAGATGAAGGTATTTATACAGCAGGAATTTAAGAAAGTTCAGAAAGTGATTGCTGATGAGGAGCAGAAGGCCCTTCATTTAGTGGACATCCAAGAAGCAATGGCCACAGCTCATGTGACTGAGATACTGGCGGACATCCAATCTCACATGGATAGGCTGATGACTCAGATGGCCCAGGCCAAGGAACAACTTGATACCTCTAATGAATCAGCTGAGCCAAAGGCAGAGGTAAATGAAAATGCTGGTGATTTTTAGCAGGAGAACTATGGGGAGCCTGACTGCCATGTTTGTTAATTATGGAAATGCCCGCGTGTGATCTCTAAACATAATAAACTAAAAACTTGGAGAGGAGTTTAACTAGTATAGACACTAGAGTGCAGTACTAGGGTCTATACCTGGCTTTTCGGCCTGGCAAAGTATTATCCAACGTAATTTAAAGGAATGTAGTCAGTGGGGCAGATGCTAATCATAGTTAAGAAGATAAACCAGAAATCTAAAGTAGAGGACAAGTGACAGACACATTCCATCTCAAGCCATGAAATGAACATAGAAATGATTAAAGTTATTTTAGAGATGAGAACAGGGCTGGGTTAAAATGAGTCAGGTAAAGCCTAAAATAGTACAGAGAAAAAAATTACGGATCTAATTTTCTGACTAGCAAAAGGATGCTTCCTTCCCATTCAGTGTCTAGTGGATCCGTCTGTATACATTGAAGGCATATTTGCTGGATTAAGAGCATCACCCGGGACTGCATTGTGGCACAGCTACTTAAGAGAATGAGAAGGGAAGGTCACTTCTACCTGTAGAGTGAGACCCTGTTTCAACAAGAAAACCAAAATTCTTAAGAAAACAACAAAACAAACAATGGAGCATATTGTGAGAAAAAAAAAAAAAGAGAAACTAATACAAAAGACACAAGGTAAATGTGAGTCAGTATTACTTAACTGTATGCATTTCATAACAGAATAAAGTGGGTCTATTTCAAACAGCATATTTGGACATTTCCAACTGTATATCAAGGCAAAAGCTAGGCATGGTGATAACTAGCTTTAATTCCAACACTTAGGAGGCAGAGGTAGGCAGAACTCTGTGAGTTTGAGGCCAGCCTTGGTCTGCACACATAATTCTAAGCCAGCCAGGGATATACAGACTCTGTATAAAAATTGGGGGAAGATCTGGAAAGATGTCTCAGCAGTTAAGATCACTTACTGCTCTTTCTGGGGACCTAGGTTTGGTTCTTAGTATCTACATAGTGGCTCACAACTGTCTGTAACTCCAGTTCCAGGAGATATAAAGTTTTCTCTGACTTCTGTAAGTTTCTGCATACACATTTTGCACAGACATACACTTAGGCATATACACATAAGGAAGGAAGAGAGAGACATCTAGAGAACCTAACTAACATGACTACAAGCTTGACTATTATAGATGAATCTCTATTAACATATATTTCTTAATTATACATTGCATTTTTAAATGAGCTTAACAAACAATACCTTAATCAAGAGCAGAAATATACATATAACAAAATTGACCTTAAATTTGTATCAATAAACTAAGATGCAATGCAAATCTTTATTACATATCCCCCTTTAAATGTAAACAAACATTTATAAACAATTTTTGGGAATTTGGACGTAGTTCTCTCCAAACTGCTTCCTGCTTTTTGTTGGGCAAAGTAATTTTTGGGGGTGTTTATGGCAACCTTTTGGGGGATCTTGGTCCACCAAACCACACCAGTGTGGAATGATTCCACAGGTTCTCATCCTCTTTGGAAACAAAAGAAGAACCTCTTTTCCAAAGCAAGGTATCCTTAGACCCAAATTTTGGAATAAAGATACCTTTAAAATACATAGGTTGGTTTAGCTTAGCATCCCATACAATGAAATGTCTCTCTCTACCTAGCTCCTTCACAGTCAAAAAATTCAAAGAAAACACAATAATATACACAATCCAGACTCTCTGTATTTTCCATCTTTATGTGGCTTATTTTTCTTAATTTATTACTTTTTCTACAAGTTTAGTATTTATTATCTTTAATCCTTTAATCTGTGACTGACTGTACTCTTTTATATTACATTTACTGTCTCTTTACTCCTTTTCTTTTCTTTCCCAAGCCTACGTACATTTTTTTTTAACACAGTGTGTCTCATTTAGAGGTCTTTTATGTCTGAGTCTGTCCTTATTGCATATGTGTAATCCAGGACAACTTTTTAAACTGCTAAGCACTTCTTAAAAACCTTAGTAGCAGCATATATAGGGGAAATACAGCCCTGTCTACTTGTTCTACCCAGTCTGTTCACTGCCTCTGAGACTGCCAGGTGGGAGCTGTCCTTACCCTCAACTCTGATAACCAGTTGGCCCATGCTTCCACCAAGTAACTTGTAGCACCCATTTAAATGCTCAGCATTCTGAAAGAGCCAGAGTTCACACTGGCAGCACTGCCCATAAAGCGGCCCTTTCAAAACATTGTGGCTTTTTTCTGCTACCGCTGAACTTTTTTTTTTTTTTTTTGGCCTAGAATTCCTTCCCAAACTCTGTCAGGTTTTAAGTGGATTTTAGTTGGCCATTTTGGTGCCAATTTGTTGTAGGGAGTCCCGGCTGCTCAGACTCCTGAAATAATTACACAGAAACCATATTATTTACAATACTGTTTGGCCTATAGCTTAAGCATATTTCTGGCTAACTCATCTCCATTAATCTATGCATCACATGAGGCTGTGGCTTACCAGGTAAAGTTCTGGAGTCTGTCTCTGGTGGGAGTACATGACTTTTCCTGACTCTGCCTTCTTCTCCTAGCATTCAGTTTAGTACCCCCTGCCCCTGCCTAGCTCTACTCTTTTGCCCTATCACAGGCCAAGACAGTTTGTTTATTAACCAGTGGTATTCACAGCATACAGAGGGGAATCCCACATCAATATAATAAAGGGACAAGAAAGAAAAGTTAAGCTCAAAAAAATATGAAAAATAATAGTTCTCAACTTTCAGTTGAAAATGTAAACCTTCAAATTTAAGAAGTAGAGCAAACCCAAACAATATAAATTCTTAAGAAATCCACACTAGGTTTGTGGGTTAATGTCAGGGTCTTCTATTCGATTCCATTGGTCGACTTCTCTGTTTTTATGCCAATACCAAGCTGTTTTCAATACTGTAGCTCTGTAGTAGAGTTTGAAGTCAGGGATGGTAATGCCTCCAGACGCTCCTTTGTTGTATAAGATTGTTTTGGCTATCCTGGGTTTTTTGTTTTTCCATATAAAGTTGATTATTGTCTTCTCCAGATCTGTGAAGAATTTTGATGGGATTTTGATGGGGATTGCATTGAATCTATAGATTGCTTTTGGTAGAATTGCCATTTTTACTATGTTGATCCTCCCAATCCAGGAGCAAGGAAGATCTTTCCATTTTCTGGTGTCCTCTTCAATTTCTTTCTTCAAAGACTTAAAGTTCTTGTCAAATAGATCTTTCACATCCTTGGTCAGAGTTACCCCAAGATATTTTATGCTATTTGTGGACTGGGAACTCACCAAGACCAGCTGGCCTGGGTCTGGAAAAGCCTGGGATAAAACCGGACTCTCTGAACATAGCGGACAATGAGGACTACTGAGAACTCAAGAACAATGGCAATGGATTTTTTGATCCTACTGCATGCACTGGCTTTGTGGGAGCCTAGGCAGTTTGGATGCTCAACTTACTAGACCTGGATGGAGGTGGGGGTTCCTTGGACTTCCCACAGGACAGGGAACCCTGATTGCTTTTCGGTCTGAGGGGGGGGGGACTTAATTGGGGGAGGGGGAAGGAAATGGGAGGCGGTGGTGGGGAAGAGACAGAAATCTTTAATAATTAAATAAATTAAAAAAAAAAAGAAATCCACACTAGGACATACTAAATTAGACATCTGAAAATGAATGAGAAGGGAATATGCCTTGAATATAGAACTCCTGAAGAGAAATTAGTTACAGAAAACAGCACTTTCATGAAACATGGTATATATGTCTTAATTTATAGGTTTTATCTTATATGTTCTCAAAAATGATTCAAAATTTTCAGTTAATTTAAACTGCTTTTGCTAAATATATTTTTGTGTCCTTAGTATTTTCAGTAGTATAAAAAGAATTGTTTTAATTTTTATTTTTCAGGTTTTTTATGTTATACATAAAATACTTTTCCTTTAAGACAGGTTTCACTGTGTTACCCAGACTGACCTCAGATTTCTGGTTCAAGGGGTCCTTCTTCCTTTGCCTTCCAAGCAGTTGTAACTTCTTATACTGTCCCCAGCAACAAATGAACTTTCACCTTGTATTTGTTTTTTTATTTGTTTAATATAAGTACAGTTTTCTGCCTGCATGTAAGCCTACAGGCCATAAAAGGGCACCAGATCTCATTACAGATGGTTGTGAGCCATCATGTGGTTGCTGGGAATTGAACCCAGGACCTTTGAAGAACAGTCAATGCTCTTAACCTCTGTGCCATCTCTCTAGCTCTCACCTTGTATTGTAACCTTGTCGAATTCCCATATTAGTGATACCTGTAGCTTTATCGATTCCTTGGGGTTTTATGCATCAGCAGTCATGCTATCGACGGTAGTCTTGCTTCTCCCTCTAAAGCCTAGGCCCACCTGCGCAGTGTCTGCATGACGGTGAAGATCTAGTCTTGCTCTCTTCACTGCTGTACAGGGCAGTACTCAGGGTGTTACCATTGGTCATGGTGTTTCCAAGTACTCTTCATCAAATTAAAATGTTCTTAGTCATAAATTATACTGAATTTTATCTTTTGTCTTCTGTATCTATCAATGACTATATGGATTTTCTGTATTGTATTATAATTATTAATTGCATTGGTTAATTTTACAATATTAAACTAACCTTATATTCTTGGGATAAAGTTTTATTCAATCATGATGTATTTGCTAATTTAAGGTTTTATGACTTCGTGAGGGGTATTGATCTGTAACTTTTATGTTAATATTTTTGTAAGTTTTTGGAATTAGGTATACATTTGCTTCATAATTCAAGCTAAGAAGTATCCCCTTCTGTTTTCTTGAGTTTCTACTCTATCAGAATTAAATATTAAAAATATTTTATCCAAATTTTTATTATTCAGGATAATATGCTTAAGAAATAATGGGTGTCTGGGTACTTCCTGTGTCTCCTTGCAGTCTGTAGTCTGACCTTTACCTCTGCCTCAGTGTCCTTCCATTTCAGCAAGGACTTCATAAAATAGAAGGATACAGTATAGAGCTATTTGGTCACATCTAGAGAACATGTGTTCACTCGGGAAGCCCGTTTGCCAGTGAAGTGTCTTGCTAACACTCCTGCTAGTTTTTACTCTGTTTTTACAATATTGCCCAAAGACTTTAGGCCCCCCTCCAGGTATGTGTATGAAAAGTGACCCGAATGTAAAAATAGAATGATATGCTTATTTTAATCTGTAATTCATGAACATTTCTGTTTTCTGCCTCATGTATATGGTTTTTGTTGTTGTTTTGTTTGTTTTTGTTGGAGATGGGGTCTTATGTAACCCTGGCTGGCTTCAAACTTGCCATGTGGCTGAGAATAACCTCTTGCCTCTATTACGCAAGTGCTGAGATTTCAGACCTATGCCACCTCACTCAATTTATGTAATACAGTGGACAAAACCCAGGTCCTTGTGCATGCTAGATGCACTGCCAACTGAGTATATCCCCCAACACTCTGACAGTTTTTGAAAGGAGAGTTTTGAGTTACAATGAGATAATCCTAGGAAAGGTTGTTTCTGGGGAGAAATTGTTAAAAATGAAGTGTACATGTCTTAAGTGTTTATTTTTGAATTAAAAAACCCACTAGTTTTTACTTTGTGTCGAGGTATTGTTAGAAAAATGTGAGTTTGCTAATTGAAATTGAATGTCATATTCTCAATATGAGCTATATCCACTATCATTTTAAATGCCTAGTTGGGACTAGTACATAGCACAGTGGAAATGTTCACATAGCATGCTAAGGTTCTGGGTTTGCATCTGGGCACCCTGAGAAATCAAGAGTAAACTACTTGTCTAATATATCTAGTGTTACTCTGTAGTGAAGAAGATATGATTCAAACAAGTTAAATGTAGAATCTTAGGCATTGATGTAATTTAATTTTTGTGGTATTTTGCATGTTAAACATATGCAAAATTATTACTAATTTTTACCATCTTTAATGAATGCTGTGAAGCATTTAAATTCTTTTTTTTTCTCATTTTTTTTTTTAAATTTTTGAGACAGGGTTTCTCCGTAGCTTTTTTGGTTCCGGTCCTGGAACTAGCTCTTGTAGACCAGGCTGGCCTCGAACTCACAGAGATCCGCCTGCCTCTGCCTCCCGAGTGCTGGGATTAAAGGCATGCGCCACCACCGCCCGGCAAAGCATTTAAATTCTTAAGAAACAATAATTCTTAGGGACAATGGTTGTCTTACCCTCATTTTTACTATTTAACTTGTCGTGATTATTGCAGGTTTACCTGAATGAGCAAATTTTAGATTCAACTTGAATCTTGGTGAACCTTATTTCCACTGGTCAAAAGTATAAAGGAAAGGTCACTAAGAGCACTCACGATGTTGGATGGAGGGATTTGGGAATATTGCTTAATCTAAGAAGTCAGTTCTATTATTTGTAGCCAGAATTAACTTATAATGGCAATAAAAATTAATATTAGATCCTGCCATATCTTTGCCTGAACTCCTAAGTAATTATTTACTATATTCTTATGCACCTTAGATATGAACAATACAGTTTCTTTTCAAATAGTTGAAATCCAGTGAGGGAGATACCATGTGGTACTGTCACCATCAGTTTCCTTTCGGTGCTAGGTGAGGAGGATGAACTCCTCAGGCACAGAGATTAGAAAAGAACATCATTTTCCCAAGCTCTCAGTGAGGAAGTGTTGACAGAGGTTTCTGTCCCACCTGGTCCTGCAGCCATTCAGTCCCAAAGAAGTACACAGAGTCCTGCAGCCATTCAGTCCCAAAGAAGTACACAGAGGTCTACTACATTAATTATAAACTGGTTGGCCTATTAGCTCAGGCTTCTTATTAATTAATTCTTACATCTTAACCCATAATTCTTGTCTGTGTTAGCCACATGGCTTGGTACCTTTCATCAGCGAGGCATTCTCATCTGTGTCCTCTACGTCTGGCAATGACTGCAGACTGAGCTTTTTTTTTTTCCCCAGAATTCTCCTGTTCTTGCCTTCCTGCCTGGCTACTGGCCAATCAGCGTTTATTAAAAATAATACAAGTGACTGGATCAAAGACCATTGTCCCACAGCAAGGAAGTTTCTGAATCAGGCCTGATCTTAAAGGAGACCTAGAATTAGCAAGGCTTTCTAGATAGAGGTGAACATTTGGGGTACCAGGACCAGCTTGTACATATTTTTTTACGAGCAAGTTATAGTCATCTGGATGTTTGGTGACGTCATCTAAATAGACGTATACTTTGTAAATGTGCTTGTTTCATCTGTGTTCAGTCCTTCAATAGTGAAACTTATTCTGGCATTCTGCATACTTTGTAGTAGTGACTGTTGTTTCTGAAAAAAGTGGAAATACAACAAAACTGCCTTTCCTTTCTTCTGTTCCCTCATAAACAGTATCAATGAGTAGTTCAGAAGAAGCTCAGTAATAGTCCCCATTATTGAACACTCTGTCACATACTTGTTTAGAAAACTGAATCTTGAAAAGTTAATTACCAAACTTTTATGCCGGAATTAATGTGAGATTGTTTTTATAACTCAGAAATCCTACTCAATCTCATACAAGTTTTCCTATGTAGGTTGGATTCTAATTCACCACTCTTTTTCCTCAGCCTCATAAATTGCTAGAACGGGGGGGGGGGGTATAATGAAAACCATACACAAATCCCATTTCATATCCATTGTACCAAGATCTGTGGCTATGAGGAGAACTTGCTTTAAGTCATGGGAGAGCACTTAGATGTATTTTCCTACAAGGTTCTCTTAATCGTTATGTTTAAATAGCCAAAGATAATTGAGAAATTGTGTCACTGATGGTTGTATAACTCATAAAATTTAAATTATATGGACTTTCCTTGCTGTATTATAGTACTCTTGAGATGTGTAAGTTGATCAAAATGCAAAGAAAATCCTCTACTACCCTATATCATCCTTTCAGTACTTTGTGCCCTCTCTCTCACTGAAGCACAATGATTAGTGCCCTTAGACCATTTACCCCTTGATAGTCTGCTAAAATGCCCTTCTTTTCAGTCTCCGGTACATAGAATGATTAAATCACTTTCCTGGCTGGAGCTTCCTTTACAGGCCTAATCTCTGGTAATCAGTCTTTATCCCAGTTGCACTCTTAACCCACAGTGCCCTTAGCCCCACTCTCTCATACTGCCCCAAATACATAGCCACGTCCTCATTTTCTAGTTCCACAGAACCCAAATTCTGCCCCTCTCCCCATTCCTTCCTATCTTATCATCTATCTCTCTATTAATTAAACTATCATGTCTTTGCTCTTGTTAGAATTTTCTTCCTACTGTCCTATCAGTCATCCGTCTGTCTGTCTGTCTATCTACTATTGTGTCTATTTTAATTAAACTGTTATGTCTTTTCCCTTGTTAGGACAGTGCTCCTTCCACTTTTCACTATTGTCGGCCTGGGAGAATCCTGCTTATCCAAGTATCAATGTATATGTCACCTTCTCTTCCTTTTGTCTCTGAAGTCATTCTGTTTATCACTTCGGTAGAGCCCATAGCATATGTAGTTTATCTTCTGAGTATGAGCTCCTTGTTGGGAACTAATAGGAGATTATCCTTAGCACTTACACACACTTGTGTAATTTTAGTGATCCACACTGAATTACTGCTAATATTAATCAGTAACCTTTATTAACAGTGTCCACTCAGGTACTATGCTTAGCATTTATGAGCATTATTTAATCCTTATTGATCTTACTACTACAGAGACAGTTATTATCTCACTTTATAAACTAGGAGGTTGAAGTTGAAAGAGGCAGAATAACTTGGCTAGTAAGTGATAGAGCCAAGATTTGATCCCAGGATGTCTAGTTCCAGCTTACACAAGGTGGAATAATTTATTCATTGATTCTCTGGGAATATAACCAGAAGGTATGTTCTCTACTGACTGAAGAAGGGAGTGTGAAAGGATAAATGACTGCTATGGGAAGGTTCAGAGCCATTTGAAAGCTCTCCTTTCGTTACAGAGGGAGATGCCAAATCATTTGCTGTGATGGTTACTGAGGAAGTTAGGTCAAGAAAATGAACCACATAGAAAAATTATACACACTTTTTTTGCAGAATGAATAAGAAAAAGAGGGAAAGTATTATTTGGGTAATTACTGATGCTCAAACTACCCATTAACAGATGGGAAAACCAAGGATCGTTTTACAAATTAGCATGTCCCAGTGGCACATTGTCATAAGTCTCAGAACTTCAGCTAGAGCCTCTGTTTCCTGAGTCCTGATTTAGAACTCTTCCCACCTCAATATGCTGTGTATTAGAACAACTGTGTTCATATTTCAAGAAAAAGTGCTAGACCAAGACAGAAATAAGTTTTTGAAGAAAACAGCTTGATGCTTTCGTAGCTGGTCAACTTTGCCCAAGACCTGCTGCTATTTTGGGGTTCTTGGTTTGCTGAGAACTAAATACTGCCAGCCATAGAAATAAAAAAGCAAGGCTACTATTTAGACCTCCTAGGTCTGTGTTCACATTCCATGCTTGCAAGGGCAAATTATCAGTCCATCTCTGCTGAGTAGTTTGAACATAGGGATATATTAGTCTTTGTCTTAGCTCTTAGACATCTTTTGGTTTGTCTTTGTTAAAATAAGTAGACAACCATGCTTTTGGTTTGGACATGAAATTAAAGAACTCTGAGTCAGTTTTTACCAATAATGATTTCTAACCATCTTTCTTCTTTGTTTTTCAGGGTGACGAAGAAGGACCCAGGTATGACTACATTTTTGCTGCTTGTCTGTTCTCAGAGTGGAATGATGTTTGTGACCTTCTAATGCTCCTAAAATAGAGATAAGCAAGGGAGTGCAGAGAAAAGGAATATCTGTCTTAATCCAGGGCTGTGAGGCCTTTGTTCTGTGGGACTCCTATCTCCTTCCCCATCTGTGTCATTTTCTGCCTGTAAATTTCAGATAAAGGTGGACTGGAAAGTACATAGTGACAGGGACTTTGCTTTGTTCTTTAGCACATTCAGAGTCCTTGTTCAGAAGAGCGGGCTCTGTATTTGAATGATAATTAGAATATCAGGTGGACATACTAAACTTACCATGTTCTTTTCTGATATAAATTGGGTTTTCTGAATGTGCTCTAGATTGTGCATTATTTCTGTCAGAATGAATAGCAAAATGAATACTAGGTCATAGGCATAAAAAACATTATTTAAGGGGAGAGAGGCCTTTGTACTTTACTGTATCAACAGTTGGTAGAAATTTAACAGAGCATTTATTATTGCCTCAGTCTTATAATGAACTCGGGCTTGACTTTCCTCTCTTCACTCTCCATCTGCTTGAGCAGTGAGAAAGGACTCTATCTAGGAAATGCTGCAGCTGTGCCATCAAGCAAACTGTAATGGTCCAGACAGGCCCCATCTGTCATGGAGACTAAAGGACTTAACAGGGAGATATCAAAAAGGGTGTCTGGGTCTCTGCTGTTTGAACTTTACTTTAACCACAAGTCCTTCCTTCCTAGTAAATTTTAAGTAGAATCTCAGTGGGTTTTTCTTCACCTCAAGCATTTTTCTTTCTGTGCAGTTAAGACTATATCCCTAGGTGATCCACTGTCTTTGTCCTAGTAGAGCCTGAATGGTTTCTGCAGAGACCAGAGTTCCTCAGAACTCAGTGCCACTAATGTAGCTCAGTTCCTTCTTAAAGGAATCTAAACAAACTGTCCTAGATTGCCCAGAGAGCTAGTTTTTGGCTCAGATTTTATTTCTGACCAATGAATATAGTTCCTTTTCCTCCTGTCTCAGGTTTTATTTTTTGGATTTTGTTTGTTTGTTTGTTTTGTTTTTTGTTTTTATTTTGTCGTTGTGATGAAATAAACCCTGCAAAAGCAGTTTAAGAGAGAAAGGGTCTATTTGGGCTCACAATTCAAGGTACAATCCTTTATGGTGGGGAAGTTAAGGCAATAGGAACTTGAAACAGCTGGTCACCTTCCTTCTGCAGCAGAAGAGCAGAGCAGTGAAGGCTGTGTTCACCCCACCTTCTAATTTTTATGTTGTCCAAGATCCCACCTAGGGAATGGTGCCACTCACAGTGGAAAGGCTTCCCACCCCACTTAACCTAATCAAGATAATTCCCTACAGCCATGCTCAGAAGCCAATATAACCTAGATGACCCCTCCCAAGTGTACGTAGAGGTTTGTCTAATAAGTAATTTTAGATTCTGTCAAGTTGACAGAGCTGATTACCACATTTTGAATTCCTCCTCTACTTAAAAATGTATTGTTTGCAAATTTCATAAATGAATATAATGTGATATGATAAATCTACCCCCTACTTCCTCCTCCCTAACTTTTTCCATATCCCCACAGAGATTTTTTACCTTCCAACTCCATGTATTCCTTTTAAACCCACTGAGTCCATTTAGTACTGCCATTATGTGCATGGGTATAGGAGCATCCAATGGAATATGGGCAACCTATCAACTATCACAACCCTGGAAAAAAATTGGCATTTTTCTTCCCCCAGCAGCTATCAATTCCCAATAGATCCTCACCTAAGAGTGGGACTTTGTGAGCCTCTCCCTCATCCACAGTCTGGGATTTTGGCTGGCTCGGTTTTATGCAGGCTCTGTGAGTGCAGTTGCCGGCACTGTGAGTTCATGTGGGTAGTGATCTGTCTTGTCCTGAAAGGCTGTTTCACAGTAACCCTCCACTAACTCGGGCTCTTACAGTCTTTCCTCCTCAAGTGCTCCTCTGAGGACTTTGCAGAGGAGGGCATATGATACTGATGTCCCATTTAGGGCTGAGCAGTCTATGATATCTTAGTCTGCATATTGGTCAATTGTGAGTCTCTGTGTTAATCATCATTTACTGCAAAAGAAACTTCTCTGATAAGGGTTGAAAACATAATAATAATATATGGCTATAAAGATAAATATTTAGGGAGCTAAAATGATGTCTGTTAAGCAGAATAATAGTAGGTTTTTCCCTGGGGCTCCTGACCTACCCAGCTGTGGATTCTTGGGCCAGGTAATGGTAGCAGGCATGTGTCCCATTTTTGTGGATTGGCATTAAATCCAACCAGGAAAGTGCTCAGCTACTCCCAGAACATTGGTCCCACTCTTCTCCATGGGCATATCTTGCCAGATTTACAGCTGAGTTTGAATATCGGATACAACCTACCCACCTCATCCCCAATAGCCTGCATGGTATCTTCCACTACTGTGAAAGCTAGCTGCTAGAGATGAAGCTTCTAGGTCAGTATAGCTCAATTGCCCCATGTCTACTGACTCAAATATGTGGGGTCTTCAACAATAGGGTCTTGCCATCAAATTCTGGAGAATAATGAAGAACGATGGCAATAGCCTGTGATGTTTTGGGAGAGTCTATGGGACTCCACTGATCAACAGGACTTGGCACTGTTCAACCCCTTCCTTAAAATGCTCTAAATGATGTCTTGGATCTGCATCTTTTAGTACTTCCTTTTCTTAAGAGCTGTATTTCTCAGCTTCCACTTCAGAACTCCAGAGAAATAACCCACTTTGGTGTGCAGTGATTTGGGCCAGACACGTCAGAGAATGCCTTCAGAGTCTACCTTAAAACATTTCAGGAACAAGCTTGTTCTGTATTATGGTTTCTACCCTCCTAGTTCTTCCCATGTTTTTATTCCTTTAAAATGTGTTTGTGGGGGGCTGGAGAGATGGCTTAGAGGTTAAGAGCACTGCTTGCTTTTCCAAAGGTCCTGAGTTCAATTACCAGCAACCACATGTGGCTGTAATGATATATGGTTCCCTCTTCTGGCCCACAGAGAGGCAAACCACTGTATAGTTAATAAATAAATAAATCTTTAAAAAAATAAATAAAATAAAATGTGTTTGTGGGAGCTGAAGAAATGGCTGAGCAGTTAAGAGAAGTACCTGCTTCCCAACCATCTATAACTAATTCCAGGGCATCTGATGCCCTCTTCTAGCCTTTGTGGATTCCTGTTCACATGGACTACACATAAATTCATGAAATCACTTACATAAAGAAATAAACATTAAAATTAGTTTATGTTCTTCCTGTAGCATAGGCATGTGCTACACACCATTACGCACATAATGGTGACTAAGACGGACATGGTACCTACTTTGTGCATTTAGAGTCTAGACAGAAGAGTGAACTTTTAAAGCAGCAGGATGGAGGAAGTGATAAGGGAAGTTCAGGCTGCTTGAGGAAAGAGTTAAACCATTGTCTAATCAAAAAAAGAAAGGAAGGAAGAAAAGTAGAGGAGGAGGGGAAAGAAGGAAAGAAGAGTAAATGAATAGAAGGAAGGAAGGAAGGAAGGAAGGCCCTAACAGAAAAGAGTGTATGTATAAAAGTCTGGAAGGAGAGAAGGCAGCAAAGGATGAGCATGACTTAGTTCCTGTGGGCAGAGGCAAATTCTTATGTAAAAACCCTAGACAAGAGAAAGTAGAAGATAAAAAGCACTATAGTAATTTTGATCTTTTAGAAACTTTCTTAGGGTATTTGCACTATCTTGCAGTCAGTGGAAAGTCATTAAAGAATTTTAAACCACAGACCTGTAATCCCAGCATTCAGGAAGTAGAGGCAGAAGGATTAAGGGTTTGAGGCCAGCTTGGGCTACATGAAACTTCTCAAAAAGAGTAAAAAACAGCACTTTGAACAAAAATTGACCTGAGTAGGTTTGTATTTTAGATGTCTCTGCTTTGTCTTCAGAGTGGAAAATGAACTGGAGGTAACCATAAGCCTAGGTAAATTAGGCCAGGCGGTGGTGGCACAGGTCTGTAGTCCCAGCACTCGGGAGTCAGAGGCAGGCAGATCTCTGTGAGTTTGAGGCCATCCTGGACTACAAGAGCTAGTTCCAGGATAGGTACTAAAGCTACACAGAGAAACCCTGTCTCAAAAACAAACAAACACAAAACAAGAAAACAAAATAAGCCTAGGTAAATTGACTTACATGAGGTGTTTTTGTTTTGTGTTCTGCAACAAAATTTGTGAGGGTGAGTACTACATAAAGACATTGATTTGCTTGTAGTTCTGAAGGTTCTAGGGATCATGGCACCACTCTCTGTTGGCTCTGGTGAGGACCTTATTGTAAATGGCATCATAGTAGCTTGAATATGTACAGAAAGGGGCTCAATGCGGGAGGTTTTGGGCTCTCATTTTCTTGGAACTAATCCAACTCCATAGGCCTAAATTAATTCCTTCCCAGTGTCATGCCTCAGTGTCCAAGTCACATTTCAGTAAGCCTCACCCTTTAAAGATTACATTACTTCCGGTTATGGCCACACTGGGACAAATCATATCTAAGCTCCAGCACTAGACTTGTAATATGATCCTGAATCAGTGTTTTTTTTTTTCTAGTTATTAACTACATTTTCACCGTTTTGCACAGGAATTTGGTTGGGACACCGAATTTTCCATGGCCCTTTACCCCTTTATTGTCTAGCTTCTTGAAATCTAGGACAGACACAGCTCTAGACTTTGTTTTCCCCAGAGAGTTCAAACAAGACCATGCTAAGAGACAAGAGCTTAGCAGAAGTAATTTCCATGGGATAGGAAATGACTTTTCTATCCTGACAGAGCTTGATTAGGCTGAACAGTTTTATTTTGTTATGACAACATTCCAAGTCACATTGATTAGAAGAGTACAGGGACACATGTAGAGAAGTGTGAGAGACTAGCTTTGAGGTTTAACTGCAGATACCTCAGTGCCATTGTGACAAGGCATAGAGTTTCTCTACTAGTAACTAAGATGTCAAGCTGTCTCC